ACTCCATTAAAATGGACTCCATTACATTTTGAGAATTATTCCATATGCTCAAATCCAGAAATTACCAATAATCTTCAAAACACACACACACACACACTCACATTATTACAAAGAAGACTCAGAAAATAAAATTATGTCTGGAATCCAATAGAACAGTGTTCTATTTGCAATGAAAAAAAAAACATGTTAACTCCATTCAAATGACTATTAAATGAATATTAATTTATTTATTTACCTGCTGCTTGCCAGAATTTGCAAAGCCAGTCCCCAGGGTCATTTTCGTCCCAATATTCAACCTCTCATGAGCTTCTTCACTGTTCACCCCCAAAATCCCGTAGTCTCCACTGTCGAACTTTTTCTTCTGCCAAAAGAAAAAAAACAAAAAAACGCAATAAATATCGAAACAAAAAGAAACCCTAAAAAAATTGATCTCTAAAAATATTAATAATAATAAAAAATAATTCGGGTTCTAACGTTCACCTTGTGACAAGCGGTACAGTGCTCAGAGTAGCAGCTCCCGGCGGCGCCCGACCCGATCTGGTCCGACCCGCCGCCGTACTTGAAGCCCGCCGGAGATCCGTACCCGGCCGTATCGGAAACCGGGTCCGGGAACTGGCCGGCCTCGGCCGCCTTCCTCCACCGGTCCTGCATCATCAGCTTCTCGAGCTTCTCCACACCCATCCCCCTCCTCCTCGGGCCGCCGTCGCCGCCGTTCCTGCCCTTCCTCCTCCCAGGGCCCCGACGCGGCGGCGCCGCGCCTCGGCGGCCGTGCTCGTGGGGGCCGGGGCTCGCGGCCCGGCGGTGGTGGTGGTGGTCGGCAGAGGAGGCCGCCGTGATAATTGAGGTAGCCATTTTTTCTTTTGTCCCTTTTGTTTTGTTTTAATGGTTGAGTTTTATAGAGAGAGAAAGAGGAGAGAGGAAGCAGACCAGAAGTGGGAAGTACAGCTGAGAAATGCGAAGTGTGAGGGGGATTTTCACTTTTCATGCAGGTTTTTGGATTTTGGATATATGTAAGAAAATTAGAAGGGAAATGGAAAAAAGTAATATTGGAAAAAAGGAGGGGTTGAAGTGTAATTATGATACTTGTGGGGATGAGTTAATGCGTTTTTTTGTCTTTAGCTTATTTATTGTTTTCATTATAAATTTGAAATTTTTGTTTTTTAAAGAAGAAAAAAATGTTGTTAAAGAGTAACTGAGATTTGGTGCCCATTTTTGGGTTGATTTGGGATTTTTTTTTTTGGGCCAGGGGAAAGATCTAAAAATAAAAAACAAAAAAATAAAAGGGATGAGTGCTAATTGAAGTGAATGACTAATAATTAAGTAATCAATTTTAGAATAAGTAATGTTGTTGCAAAGCACGTTTATAGATTAGACAATCATAGTTTCTAAATATAAATATGTATTTCATAATATAGTTACACATTTTCGTTAAAAAAATATAACAGGTCAACCTTCCTAACACGTAATTCATCTCACACAACAATTTAGTACTATGTTTTAGATCATGGTAAAAAGGTTTTGACCATAATTTCTTTCTTTTAACATCTTACCTTAGTTATTTCAATGAAATGCATCCAAATTGAAATTAACATTAATGACAGTCCAAACTAATTAAATATCCTATGAGTTAATCTATACACTATTTGATTTGCTTATAAGCCAACAATATTCTCAATTTTATTTCCATAATTTCATCTTTGTTAGTTAGTCTTACTCTATGTGGACTTGGCTTGGGGTGAGCTGAAATCCTAAAGTAGCACAAGTGATAATAATAATAATAAAATAAAAAAAGTGTAACTCTATAGCATGGGGTTAGGTCTACACTTGAAAATACGCAACGCAATGTACTTTTACTAGTTTTTGCTATTATATATTTTTCTTTTTTCATTACTGCTAAAAGGATAAACTTACTAGTTATGGGGGTTACTTTGTGTTCATGTTTTTGGTGCTAGGGTTGCCCATTTAAGGCAGCATATAAAGGTGCAATCATAGACACTGGGATTTGATTTGATAATATAAATATATATATATATATATGTCATACTAATCGATTGCTCTGTATACTCTAGCTACAACTACTTTATAACCAGAAATTTCTCTATTTTTTTAGCTTTTCAAAATTCAAAAGTATAGTTGTCCTAAAAGTAACATTTCTTGATGGCTTCCCATTGGTCAAAATAAGAAGTCTTTGTCAAGTGAAGAGTATAAATTTTTATAACTCGACTCCTAAATATTGATAAACGAGCCGAACTCGATTTCTAGAAAGGTCGGCTCGTTAATAGTTCGAAACCGAGAGTCAATGTACTGGTTAATATTAGGGCCTTAAGGGACTGTTTGGCTTTTGCACACAT